ACATGTGATTCTTGACCTGCCATTGTGTATCTATTCCTCTCAAACCCAGCCGGTCAAAGCAGATAGCCGCTTGTCCTGAGCCTGGTTCTGCTAAAGGTTTCTTCCTCACGAGGGAGTTTTTCCTTTCCACTGTCGCCTTCGTGCTTGTTCAAGATGAGTCTGTGATGGAGTTAAACTCAAAGCAGTCTGCTCCTCAGAAAAATAATGTTTTTTACTTACGTTTCACATATGAATGTTTCTGTTCAGTGCCTTGAGACGACTTCTGTTGTGACTTGGCGCTATAGAAATAAACCGAATTAAACTGAGTTCAGTGGGATGCTGCAGTTCTCTGTAGTGATGGTGCAGATGGTGGATGTAGGAGGTGGATGGTGGGAAATTGAAGATCGAGTCACACCTGTTGCATGAAAGCATCACGAACCGCTTGACAAATGTTAATTAAGCTTTTCAAAAAAAAAAATCTATACGTGTACCTCTACAAGTGATTAGCATTCGGAGTCGGTCCAATCTAAGATGGCCACCACATCTCGTCAACATTAGCCAAGACAAAAATAGCCAGTTTTACAGATGTTGAGCTAAACTTTGATGTCGAAGTAGCTGAGAATTTTTCATGAACGCGACGTTTTTTAACGTTTGAACAAAAAATGGCTACAACTCCATCGCCTCTCAGATAATCTTAGTCCAAAACTCTAACATGAACGGTGGCGGGCGATATGCATTCCTTCAAGAAACGCTGAGTCGTCATTTAATCTCTTGTATTTAACAAACAGGATGAATTGCAGTGCAGTGGAAGTCTAAATAAAACTCTTAAATGACATTTAGGATACATGTTTGCAAAACAGTTTTTTCTTATGAAACCATTTTGTTGGTTTACAGAAGCATCAAGACAAAGAAAAGTCCAAACAGCAGCAACTGTACAAATACAGACTGGACTCAAACTCATATCTGACTGTCTTTTTCAGATGGACGGACAGAATTTGATCAAAACAAGACGGCGCCACGGATCCGCGATGCTTTGTGTCAACAATCCATGCTGCTGCCGGTGTGGGAGCCAGGTTCTGGCAGCCTTTTCATAATCGCACAATTGAAACACTGTCACCTACTTGCTGAACCACATCCATCCGCGCGACCGTCTGCCAATTGCCTCTTTGAGAAGGATTTTCACCTTAGACTGGTTTCTAGTGAGGACAGTGGAGGTTCATTTGGAGGCAACCCTCCTAAGAACTGTTTCCAGAAGGGAAAAGGTGCACCTATCAAAGTGTCTGCAGCTTATCCTCACATCACTAACTCCTAGTTTTGCTTGCAGAGGTTATGTTGATAGCAATCTATCCACTTTTCTTTTGAGCAGCCAAAATGTGGACTGATACGCGTGCAATTTGAAGCAATCACTCTTAAAGCAGCCGATTAGCTGCTCCATCTGGGAGCGCAGCGCTAATCTGCTCAAACCTTCAGCCAAACAAACAATGGTCAATAATTAAGCAGGTCTTTGGCAGGAGGCCATCAGTGATTTCTGTTGTTGTTATTTTATCCCTAAATAGAAAAAAAAAAAAAAAACATGTCTCATTCAAGCTCGTTGCTTTAGCCAGTCATATCTAAACAGTGTTCCTCAGCCAAAACAGCTGAGCTCGCCTTCGTTCTGCTCTTTTCGGCCCAAATGAAATGTTCGGCTCGGCTCCTTTTTGGAGGAGCGTCATTAGCTAAACACATCATGCTAATGCTTAGAGGCTAATTAATGTTCCTCAGAGAGAATGGCAAAGCTCTCCAGTAAGAGCCTCTTCATAACACCAGCTGCCGTGATGTTTAGTCAAACATTTTCTGCGGGCTAGACTCAGGGGAAGAGGAGCAAGTAAATATCCTGATGCATGCTCAATAATCCAGGTAGAAAAATCCAAAAAAGTTCAATCTGGTCCTCTGGACATTCAAAAAAAAAAAAAAAAACAAAG